GAAAATATACATAGCCAAAGATACACCATTTCAAAAATTTCTACATGCACAATTCAGTGACATCGATTACGTTCTTCTAGTTGTGCTGCTCTTCTAACTTTAGATGAAGGTTTACAGAACAAAGTACTTTCTCATTAAACAGTTGGTACACATGTTGCCTCTTGACAATGGTTAACAACCCCACTGCATGTCAACACTGTCCTTACTCAACCTTGGGTTCCCTATCACTAGCTTTCCTGTCCCCTCCTGTCTTCTAGTCCTTGTCCCTGGACTGCTGTGCCTCATTAGTCCCATTTTGTTGTATGGGGCTGACCAGTCCCCGGCTGAACGGTGAACCTGGGAAGTGACTTCACCACTGAGCTAAAAGGGTGTCTGGGGGCCATACGCTTGGGGTTTCTCCAGTCTCTTTCAGGCCAGTAAATCTGGTCTTTTGTGTGTGTGTTAGAATTTTGTTCTACATCCTTCTCCAGCTCTGTCCAGAACTGTCTGTTGTGATCCCGGTCAGAGCAGTCAGTGGTGGTAGCCGGCACCATCTAGCTGTACTGGACTCAGTCTGGTGGAGGCCTTGGTAGCTGTGGTCCATTAGTCCTGTGAACTAATCTTTTCCTTACATTCTGTTTTCTTCATTTCGATGAGCTGAATTTTTCAGAGTTCACCAGTTATGACCAATAATGTAGTAGCTAAGAGCTTGGACTCTGGAGCCAGACTGCATGGCTCCCAGGAGTACCTACATCAGAGTTTTCTTCTGAGAACTAAATGAGTTGATGTTTGTGAAGTCCTGAGAACCATGGCAGGCAAGTAGCAAGTATTATTTAGGTATCTCATTGTTTAAAAAAACAGCCAGAATTGAGAACCATTGTATCAGGAAATGAGTTTAATCTTACACAGGGTTTCAGAGCCTTGTTCTGAGTTTACATTCTCACGGTAGTGCAGCTTTAGGCTTCAGATTCACCAGCAGTCAGTTGTTCCCATAAATTCTAGAAGATTGCCAAGAGTATATTATCTGAGCACACCATTCTGTCTCTTGAGCAACAGTAAAAAAACGTCTGAGGACCATTGCTTGTTAAGCTGCATAACCTTGGACCGTTAACCGCTGAAGTTCATTTTTCCTCACCTATAGAAAGAGAGCATAATTTGTGTTTCATAAGCATGATATTAAGAATTAAAACATATGTAAGAATGTGATATATGGAAGTGAGGATGTGTGAGGTATTTAAGTACTCAGTATGTTTTCCCTTTTTGTCTGTCCTCTTACATTAAGAGCAAAGAAACCGAGACTTAATCTGTAGTTAATCATTAATATTAAGACTTAATGATTTTTTTCAAAGCAGATTTAGAAAGGGACCTCAGGTATTTAGCATTAATTATAAGGTATTTTGAAATAATCATGGCTAAGTAAATTATGGTATATTTTATTAAGTCAAATATGCATTAAAAACCATTCTTATAAAGACATTGGAAAAGATCTTTACAGTATAATAACTTTAATTAAAAGAAAGGACGGAAAATATAAGTACACTGTTACTATAAGTAAGGAAAATTTGTATGTGAACAAAGCTGAAAGGAAATACGTAAATATAAATAGCTCTTCAGAGTAATGTCTACTAACCATATTTTTAAAACTGTGTTTTATCTAATTCTGTGGTATTAAAAGGAGCAATGGTAGAATATTGAATGTTTTATTTTTTAATTTATATACAGTAAAATTCACTTTTAGGGGAGGCATACAGTTGTGTGAGTTTTGGCAGATGCCGCCACTGCAATCAGAGTATGGGCCTTTGCCTTGTGTGCCTCCCTGATCCCAGTATTTCCTTCTGCTGCTCCTTGTTGCCATAACCCCTGGCAACCACAGATCTTTTCTGTATCCCAATAATTTTGCCTTTTCCAGAAGATCATGTAAGTGGAATCGTATATAACCTTTTAAGTCTGGCCTCTTTAATTTAGCCTAATATATTTGAGATCCATCCATGTTGTTGCATATATCCATGGTTTGTTCCTTTTTATTACCAAGTAGTATTCCATTGTATGGATATACCACAGTTTGTTCATTCATTCACCCATTGAAGGATACTTGGGTTGTTTCCTGTTTTCTGCAATTATGAATACTTCCATAAATATTCATGTACAGATTTTTGTGTAAACATAAGTATTTTAGGGTAAATACGTAGGGGTAGAATTGCTGGTCTATTTGCCTATTGAAGAAACTACCAAACTGTTTTCCAAAGTGGTCATACCATTTTCTGCCCCACCAGTAATGTTACAAGAGTTCCAGCTGTTTTGCATCTTCCCCAGGATTTACAATTTTCAGTTTTCTTTTGGTTTGTTTGTTTCTGGTCATTCTAATAGGTGTTTAGCGGTTTTTCACTGCGGTTTGAATTTGCAATTCCCTAATAACTGATGGTGTTAACTGTCTTTTCATGTACTTATTTACCATTTATATATGTTTCTTGATGAAGTATCCGTTGAAATCTTTTGCCCTTTTTTTGGGGGGTGGGTTGTTAACTGAGTTTTAAAAGTTCATTTGTATTCTGAATACAAGACCTTAGGCTGGTGGGTAATTTGCAGATATTTTCTCCCACTCTGTGATTTGTTTTTTTATACTCTTAACAGTATTATTTGCAGAACAGAAGTTTTTTAATTTTGTTGAAGTCCATCTTATCAGTTTCATGTCTTATGGATTGTGCTTTTGGAACCATATCTAAGAACTCTGCCTAATCCAAAGTCATGGATAATTTGGTCTTACTACATTTAGGTCTTTAATCCATTTTGAGTTAACTTGTTAAAATTTTAATGAAACGGTGTGAGTTACAGCTCATGGTTCATTTTTGGGGGGAGAGGCATATGGACATCTTAATTGTTCTAGCACCATTTGATAATGGAAAGACTATCCTTTCTTTGTTGAATTGCCTTTCACTTTTGTCAGAACAGTTTAACATGTTTGTATGGATCTATTTCTGGACTCTTAGTTCTTGTCCGTTAACCTGTATGTCTATCTGATGGCCCCTGGGTGGCACAAACAGTTAAGCGCTTGACAGTTAAGCTGAAAGGTTGGTGGTTGGAACCCACCCAGAGGTGTCTCGAAAAAGAAAAAAATTACTCTTTATTGGACTACCAAAACCAAACCAAACCCACTCCATTGAGTCGATTCCAACTCACAGCAACCCTATAGGACAGAGTAGCGCTGCCCCATAGGGTTTCCAAGGCTGTAATCTTTATGGAAGCAGACTGCCACATCTTTCTCCTGTAGAGTGGCTGGTGAGTTTGAACAGCCAACCCTTCAGTTCGCAGCCAAGTGCTTTCACCACTGTGCCGCCAGGGTTCTTTCTTTGGAGTACAGACTCCCCTATTCCCAGTTCTTTTAGTTAGAAGGATTTTCTCATAGTTTTAGGTGCTCACCCAGCTGTTACCACCACAGGATGGCCTCTTCATGACTGGAGCTTGTCTTGGGTGAAGGTTAGAGGAGCAGAAAGAAAAACATTGAAAGGTGCATTTCCTTCACACTCTCCATCCCAGAGTGCCTCCTTTCCTGATCCTGTAGCCTGAAAGAGAGGGCTTGTCTTGGAGCTTTGTCTCTTTGTGCTTGATGTACCTTCTGGTGTAAGGCTGTCTTCAAGTCTAAACTGGATATGTGGAAGGGAAAAGAACCAGAAAACTCACTGCCTATAGGTCATTATTCAGGTTTTTATTTTCTTCCCCGGTCTATCTGCTCTGCCCTTTTGTGAAGTCTCAGATAGTTGCTTTATATATTCTGTGAAACGTTTTTGGTTGTAATCACTGGGAGAGACCTCGAGGCATGTGCTTGGTCTGTTTTAGCCAGAACTAGAACTTACGGTGGTGAATTTAATAGGCAGCCAAGATAGAATTTTTATTTGGTGTTTTGAATACAATGCAAGGTTTAGTAGCATATATCTGCTTTTAAAATTATCATTATAATCAGGGTTTCACAGTTGGGAGGGACCTTAGAAGCAGTCCAACCCAAGTCCCACATTTTACAGGTGATGTAATTGGAAGGTCATATGATTTGCCCATGGTTACACCATTAACAGCATAATCAGAACTTGAACTACAGTTGCATGTCCACTGTTCTTTGTACAGTACAGCTACAAATTAGTTTACACTCCCTATAGGGTCGCTATGAGTTGAAATCGACTTGATAACAGCATGTTTGGTTTTGGTTTGTGTACTCTTGCATAAAAAATATAAAAAAATTCATACAATGGCAAATATGTATTTGGACCATTGACTATAAACCGTTCCTCAAGTTAAAATTAACAGCTCATATTCTGAGTATTTTATATGCATGACTATGGTTAGTTTAAGTTATAAATTTGCTATTACTATATTACGTTCACCAATTCTGTAACTATTGTCATATGTCTATAGCTCCCTAAGTGATTTCATTCTGTCTCATAGCTATAAAATGCAGTTTACATACTGATAGTACCAAATTTATCTAAAGACTTCTTTCCTGAGCTCTGATTTCATATATTTAATTGCTACATTTTACTTGGATATCCTAAAGCGTCTTTATAGTAACATGTCCATTCCAGAACTCTTGATTTCCATCTCCAACCCCTGCGCACAAAACTCTGCTTCTGTATCTCATTTATGATTACCCGAAACCTAAGAGTTATCTCCGATTCCTCTTTTCCCTTACCCTGCTTAATGAATTGATCAAATCCTGTTAACTCTCATTTTGAAATACCCCTCAAATTTCGTCTCTTTCTAGCTTCATTGCCACCATCTTGTTTCCTGGACTACTGCCAAGCTCCCCTTAATTAGACTGTATGTGGCAATCAGTATAGTCTTTTAAAACAAAACAGATTATATTTCTTTCCTGCTTAAAACCTTTTAATGGCTTTTCATTGCAGTATGTGCTCCTTACCATAGCTTAAAAAAAAAAAAAAGTTGCCATGGAGTCAATTCTGACTCACGGCAACCCTGTGTCAGAGTAAAACTGTGCTCCATAGGGTTTTCAGTGGTTAATTTTTTGGAAGTAGATCACCAGGCCTTTCTTCTGAGGTGCCTCTGGGTAGACTTGAACCTCCAACTTCTCAGAAGCTAAGCACTTAGCCATTTGTGCCACCCAGGGGCCCTTAGGTTATATCCCCTAAATCAGAGATGGGCAAATTTTTTCTGTAAAAGGCATAGTAGTAAATACTTAGGCTTTATGGACCATATGGTCTGTGTCACAGCTCATCAACTCTGCTGTTGACGTGCCTTAGACAGTCTGTAGACGAATGAGTGTGGCTGTGTTCCAGTACTACTATTTAAAGAAACAGGCAGCAGGCCATATTTGGCCCATAGGCCATAGTTTGCCAACTCTTGGGGCCTTAACTACTGCTCTGATCTCATTTTTCTGCCATCTTTCTTTCTTTCAGTACATGCAAGCCACACCACCCTCTTGTCATTCTTAGAACACACCAATTCCATTTCCTTCTTATAGTCTTCACAGTTAGCTTTCCCTCTGCCTAGAACGTTCCTTCTAGACTTTAATAGGTCACTTCTCAATATTCAGATCTCCACTCAGATGTCACCACCTCAGCTTTTCTGCCAGCCCTGTGTAAAAGAATCACCCTATGCCATCCCCCATGTGGCCCTCATCACACTCTTCGTCAGAGCACTTGTTGTAACTTGAAATTGTCATTTTTTTGTTTGCTTGTTTTTCTTCGCCTATTAGAATATAAGTTCTGTGAATGCAAGGACTTTGCTCATTGCTACATCCCCTCACTTAAACAAAGTAGTTACTGACTCTTGGTCATTGTGTAGTAATCATTTGTTGAATGAATGAATTCTATTTTTATGTATATAAATATTATGACTATTGAATTTATAATTGAACCTAGTGAAAAAAATAGATCTAATATGTTTATAGGAAAATTAACTTAGAAAATGTTCTTAATTCTCCACTCTTAAAAAATACTGACTTTTTTTTTCTTCTTTTGTTGGGGGGGTTAATGTAGATCTGAAGAGGAATGATTATACACCTGATAAAATTGTATTTCCTCAGGATGAGCCTTCAGATTTGACTCTTCAGCCTGGAAATTCTACCAAAGAATCAGAATCAACTAATTCTGTTCGTCTGATGTTATAATATTACTGAATCATTGGTTTTGCCTACACCTTATTGAAATGTTATTGTGTCACTTTTCCTTCAGGAGTTGTTTGGTCATATAGAAAGGTATATATGCAAATTGAATTTGCTGATTCCAGCACAGTTAATAGGTCAGTATTTTTGGCCTAAGTAAGCTAGTCAGTCAGAAACTCCCTATAGGATATAGCTGACAGCTGATAAATTTTAAAGGAAAAGAAAAATTAGTATTTACAACTTTCTAAAGGGTTCTTTTTAGCAGAGGATTTAATTTCACTTTGTTCTGATGAGGGTGATGCCCTCTCTCATGTGGTGCAATACCATTAACCAAAGTTAGGTGTCGTGCAGATTTCATTTGGCAGCTGGTTTACTGCCATTCAGCTAGAGAAATGAAGAAGTCATCCAGCCTTCTGATTAAGTGGAAGTCAGCGATCTTCCTGGGTGTGTTCAGTGAAATCTTAGTGATGATGTCACTAGTTCCCAGCTAGATGCTTATTGGCCAGTCTTATAACTCTAGATTGACAGGGATACAAGGAGCCTGAGCGGAAGGCCGTTTTGTTAAAGGAACTTGATTTATGGATCAGGGCTAGGCTCCGTGTTTAAAGATAGAGCCAGTTTTTGTTAAATAGAACCCAAATTGTGCAAAAGTGTTGGTTTATTTTTTACATTATTTTATCAAGTTGCTCAAGTAGAAGAAAACTGATAGACTGGTATAATCTAAATATATAAAAGGATAAACTTAAACTCACTGTTCAAAAGAAGTTACCTTACGAGAAAAGTTAAAGTGCTTTTTCCTGTCCATATCTATAGGGACAACCTGGAAGTTACATCTCCAAAGATTTTATTGACCAGTATATCAAATTAAAATGTAAACATGATTTCTTGCATATATTTAAAATTGTGTAGGAACATCTGAACATGAATGTTTTTTGTGGTACTTAAGAAATTGACTTGTATTGTCATTATGTGATGTCGGGAGATTGCAATGTAACTTTATGCCAATAAAACGTAACATAACTGCCCCAAATATTATTGAATATTCAACAACAGCAAAAAGCTTCTCATCCACCTAAAGCTTTACGCTTTGATTTTTTTTTCTTTGTTTGTTTCCTAGGTACTAATTATAATTTTTATTTGGGAAGGAGCAGTGTAAAGCTTATTTGTATTCAGTAGTGTATCTCATAGATACAAACAAGGCAAGAAGAGATAAGCTGTTTAAATAGTGTTTATATTGATGAGGGGAAGAGAAAGAAAAAGTGTAGTACTTAAAGATATTATACTATATACATTTTGTATATCACATCTTTAAAAGAATTTAAAATAAATTTATTCTTGTTTACATGTTTCGTGAATTTAATCATTCTGAAAATTTACCTCACGTTTTCAGAGTATCCATTCTTTTTTTTAATCATCTATGCACGTGCTTTTTGATATCCTGTTATACAGTGTTTAAAGTGATCTTGGTTTCTTAACTGTCTTTTTTTCCCTTTGTTTCTTGTTATGCCAGAAAAGGGGAATATGGGTTGTCTGCTGATGTTTAATTTTATGTGGGTTATTTTTACAAGAGAATAATGGCTAACATGTAGTGCTTAATATGTTCTAGGTATTACTCTAAGTATTTTACCAATATTGACCCGTTTAATCCTTATAACAATATTATGAAATAGGCATTATTATTATCCTGTTATTGTTGTTTCAAATAAGAATATCCATAATTATCTAAAAAGGTTATTAAAACACTCCTCCTCATACCAAAAAAAAAAAAACCCCACTGCTTTAAGTCGATCTGACTCATGGCAACCCTATAGGACAGAGTAGAACTGCCCCATAGGGTTTTCAAGATGGTGGATTTGAACTGCCAACCTTTTGGCTTAGCAGCAGAACTCTTAACCACTGCACCACCAGGGCTACCCTTCCCATACAGAGCTACAGTAAACAAAACATTGTGGTACTGGCATAATGATAAGACTTACAGATCAGTGGAATAGAGTTGAAACCCTCACATTTATGGTCAATTGATTTTCAGCAAGGGTGCCAAAACAGCTCACTGGGGAAGAATGATCTCTTTAAATAAATGGTCTGAGATGACTGGATATCTACATGCAAAAGAAAAGTTGGACCCCTACCTCACACCATATACAAAAATTAACTAAAAATGGATCGAAGACCTAAATATAAGAGCTAAAATTATAAAACTGATGAAAACATAGAGGTAGGATTAGGTAATGGTCTGTTAGATATAATAAAAGCACAAGCAACCAAAGAAAAGTGAACTTCATAAAGATTAAAAACTTGTCCTTCAAAATACACCATCAAGAGAATTGAAAGACAACTCACAGAATGGGAGAAGTTTTGCAAATCATGTATTTGATGGGGATTTGTATTTGGAATATATAAAGAACTCTTACAGCTCAGCAATAAAAACATTACTCAAAAATGGGCAAAACAGTATTCAAAGCACATGGCTAATAAGAATATGAAAAGATTCTCTACATGATTAGCCATCAGAAAAGGCAGATCAAAACTATAATGAGATTCCACTTCATGCTCACTAAAACAAATTGCCCTCAAGTCAATTCTGATTTGTGATGAGTATGGCGCAGTGAGTTACTTATTATGGCCCTTCTAGCTATAGTCTTTGTGACTCCTGTGCAGTGATTGAGTGGGACTATGCAGATGACCTTGTGACCCACCAAGGGGATTGGACAGCTTGCTAATGATGTAAATAAAGTGCATGGAATCCTGTGGGGTGGGATTGGTCAGTTTTGCCATCCACTAGGCTTAAAAGAGCCAATCCCAGAGCAGAGGGGGACCTCACTACCACCAAGAAGAAAGGGGAGCAGAGTGTGTCTTCTGGACCCAGGGTCCCTGAGCTGAGAACCTCCTAAACCCAGAAGACAGATGGTGAGAGGTAGCAACAGAGGAACGGCAGCAGAACCAGGAGACTGGCATAAGGAGGGCACAGTGAACGTCCCAGTCTACGGAACTAGGCGGCTGCAGCGGGTGTGACAACCCAAAGAGCGAGAGAGCTGAGCACCTTCGGGCAGGAGGTTTACTGGCAGAATGGGTTGCTTCAGGCACTTATTTTCAGAGCTAGAGGCTGGGCTGGGCTGGGCTGGGCTGGGCTGGGCTGGGCCAAGTGGCTGAGAGATGAGAGGCCGAGGGCCAGAGAGAGACCTGCCTGTGGGCATAGCTGAGAAGAGGCTGTCCTGATCAGAGAACTGTATCCTGAGCTGTTCCTGATCTGAATTGTGACCTGTTAGACTTTCCTAGTAAACCCCATAATCTTGAGTATTGTCTGAATTCGTGTGGCCACCTGCAACAAATTATCAAATCTAGCAGAGAAGTAGAGAGTGCCATGGGAGGCACAGCTGGTGCCAGAATTGGTGAGAAGATTGGAGGGTGGAGGTATGTTTGACTTCTGCCTCATGGGAATCAGCCTTGGACTGATGTTGATCTTGATTCTCCCCCCTAATGAAGTTAGAGGTCAGATGTCCACGCCACAATTTTTACAGTGACCCCAGGTGTAACAGAGTAGAACTATTCTTCATAGGCTGCTTTTTTAGAAGTAGTTTGCCAGGTGTTTCTTTCAAGGTGCCTCTGGGTGGACTCAAACCTCCAACCTTGTGGTTAGCAGTGAACACATTAATCATTTGCACCACCCAAGGACTTCTTCACACCTACTAGGATGGGTATAATAAAGACAATAAGTGTTGCTAAGGATGTGGCAAAATTAGAACCCTCATACACTCCTAAAACCAAACAAAAAAAAAACCAAACCCGTTGCCATCAAGTCAATTCAGACTCATAGCGACCCTGTAGGACAGAGTAGAACTGCCCCATACGGTTTCCAAGAAGCAACTAGTGGATTCAAACTGCCGACCTCTTGGTTTGCAACTAAGTTCTTAACCACTACACCACCAGGGCCCCCATAAACTCCTAGCGGGAATGTGAAATGGTGTGGCCACTTTGGAAAAAAATTGGCAGTTCTTCAAAAGGTTAAACAGTTGTAACTCAGCGATTTCATTCCTAAGTATTTACCCAAGAGAAAAATCTGCACAAAAACTTGTACACAAATACAAGAGCATTATATGTAACAGACAAAAAGTAGAAACAATCCAAATGTCCATCAACATGGTATATGCATATAATGGAATATTATTCAGCAATAAAGGAAATACTGATACATAGTGACAACATCTTGTGAGCCTTTCAATTTTGTAGCTAATGCACTTTGTAAGATACACTGCGATGCAAAAAAACGCGGAATGTTGGGCTACATAGACTTGGACTCGCAGTTTTGCTAAGCCACTTATTCCACGTGTGACTTTGGCCAATTGAGCGACCCTTTCTGATAAAACTTAACCTCATAGTATTATTGTGAAGACGCAGTGAGTTAAGTGCTCAGCACATAGAAGTATGCAAATTTTAGGTCCCTCCATGACACCTTTCCAAGTTCCAGTGAAAAGAGGAGGACATGATGGAGAATAGAGAACACTGAGTGATTTTCTGCTTTACCAAGGAATTCATTATCCTTTATTTAATCATATTTACAGATGTTTCTTCCCTTAGTATAATTAAAATGTGAGCACATGCTTAAAAGATAATGTAGATATGTATAATGTGCATCAAAGTGCACAAGTCTGTTCCACATTCATAAGATTGTAGGCATTTTTATGTTACCCTCTGTTATGGATTGAATTGTGTACCCCAAAAATATGCATTAAGAGTCCTCACCTCTATACCTATGTATGTAATCCTATTTGGAAATAGGTTGTATTTGTTATGCTAATGAGACCATATCAGCATAGGGTATGTTCTAAACCTAATCACTCTGAGTGATACAGAGACAAGCAAACACAAACA